CACAAGGGGGCGCCATGAGCAAGATTGCTTACGAGCATATGGAGCCGTTGAGGGTGGGGCTCTTATAGAAAATTACAAAAATTTTGAAGCAGTTTGGATGAATTATGTGGGAGAGAGAGCTGCTTGAAAATGCATGGCGATGGATCAAAAATGGCTTCGCCATAGCAGCCACGCCCGTTGACCTATAGACATACAGAGCATGTGGAATGTGGAAAGTTAGAAGCATTTTGAAATTTGGGAAAGGGGTGAAATTGGGACACGAAATGTCGGAATAATAATAATAATAATAATAATAATAATAATAATAATAAACAGCACAATTTCAATAGGGCCCTCTGCGGACGACTTCGTTGTCGCTCGGGCCCTAATAATAATAAACAGTGCGATTTCAAAAGGGTCCTCAGAGGACTTCGTCATCGCTCGGGCCCTAATAAACAGCGCGATTTCAAAAGGGTCCTCGGACGACTTCGTCCTCGCTCGGGCCCTAATAATAAACAGCACGATTTCAAAAGGGTCCTCGGATGACTTCATCATCGCTCGGGCTCTAATAATAAACAGCACGATTTCAAAAGGGTCCTCGGACGACTTTGTCGTCGCTCGGGCCCTAATAAACAGCACAATTTCAATAGGGTCCTCCGCGGACGACTTCGTCGTTGCTCAGGCCCTAATAATAATAAAAAAATCCTTGCATTTCAATAGGGTCCTCGCATCGCTAGCTGCTCAGGCCCTAATAATAATAAAAAACAGCGCGATTTTAATACGGTCCTCCATGGACGACTTCCTCGTCGCTCGGGCCCTAATAATTATAATAATAATAATAATAACCAGAGCGATTTCAATAGGATCCTCCGCGGACGACTTCCTCGTCACTCGGGCACTATAATAATAATGAGTCCTTGCATTTCAATAGGGTCCTCGCACCACTAGGTACTCGGGCCCTAATAATAATAATTCCTTCAGTTTCAATAAGGCCTTCGCCCAGCCTTTGGTCTGTGCTCGGGCCCTAATAATTCCTTCAGTTTCAAGAGGGCCTTCATCCGGCCTTCAGTTGGTGCTCGGGCCCTAATAAACAGCGCGATTACAATAGGGTCCTCACGGACGACTTCATCGTCGCTCAGGCCCTAATAATAATAATAAATCTTTGCATTTCAATCAGGTCCTTGCACTGCTAGGTGCTCAGGCCCTAACAATAATAATAATAAAAATAAAAGTCCGAACAAAAACAATCGGGTTCCCAGCACCGCTGGTCCTGTGAAACGGGTCTGCTTGCATAAGCGTTCCTCTTGCCCTGCAGGTTTTGACCCCTAATAATAACAATCTGAACAAACTTCTAATAAACAGCGCGATCTCAATAGGGTCCTACGCGGATGACTTGCAGTCGGCGCTAGGGCCCTAATAATAGCTGGTACAGCATTCCATTCATGTGCCGCTTTGATTGAAAAGGTAGATTGACTGAAAGCTGATTTTCTCAGTGGGATGATGCAGTTTCCTCTTGTGAGATTATACTTCACCCTGTTGCAAATCTTCTTTTCTTTCTAAAAGAAAGATTAGGTTCTATCACGATCCCAAGGTATTTGGCCTTTTTGACAATTTCCAGTCTTTGTCCAAGTACAAATATGTGTATCTCAACAGTATTACTAGCTTTCTTGATAAAATACACGCTGGTGGTTTTTGACACATTTAATTGTAGTCAACATTGATTTAACCATTCAGTAATATGGATCATTACATTGGTTAAGATAGAGGCAACTTGACTTTTTGTAGTGTTGTGTACATATTTTACAGTGTCATCTTCACTTCACTTCACTTCACTTCAACTTTATTATGTCCCAATATGGGCAAATTGGGTTGCCGCAGGCACAGGCATTATAAACAAATTGCAGAAAGTACATTTGCAAAAAGTACATTTGCATGAGAAATAAAACACACAGATAAATAAAAAATAAAAACCTAAGAGCATACGTCAGTCAGACAAGTATTTTTGCATGGGGGTGGGGGTGGGGGACAGAGTTCATAAAGTGCAATTCAAAGTGCTATGTGCGATTTGCATACCAGTTATAGTGAACCTTTTTATTAGGCTAGGTCTCTCCGAGATCTTACGAGATCAGGCTTGATCAGTATCAGTATCAAATCACATCTGTCAATCAATTTCCCATTCTTTCAGACCAGAATGGATAATCCATTTACCACACAGGTAATTAACTATGAGAGACTTTGTAAATAAAGTCTGCATCAAGTCAGTTCCACATTTTGTCAGTCAGAGCCAACACTCCCACCCCACAGAGTAAATATACAATAATACACATACAATATATACAATCATACACACAATCCAAATCCAATTTGTTTGATTAAATTCACAGACACGCCTTTGCAGTTACCTCCTACAGGAGTCGTTTAAGGCTCTGATGGAGACTGGGATGAAGGAATTTTTATATCTGTTTTTTGTGGCAGTTGGAACTCGCAGCCGTTGGCCAGAAGGTAACAGGTTATATTCTGAGCTGAGAGGATGGTCACTATGGGACTGAATGGACACAGCTTTTTTAAGAACCTGCCTGGTAAAAATATGATTGAGACTGGTGAACTGCACTCCTACAATCTTACTTGCCACCTTAACAATCCTGTCAAGGGCATTTTTCTCTCTCTCTTATCTGCATACATTACAGTCTCTATCTCTGGGCATACAGTTGGCAAACCATTTACATGTAGGCTAAATAGGAGTGGGCCCAATATGGATCCTTGTGGGACACTAGTGGAAAGGCTGAGAGCAGTGGATTGATTGTTGTTAACTCTGACTATTTGTGATCAATTGAAGAGGTAAGACTCTATCCAGCTAAGGGCAACTGGTGAGAAGTTAAAAGAAGATAACTTGGAGAGGAGGACAGCATGGTTTACAGTATCAAAGGCTTTCCTAAGATCTAAAAACACAGCCCTGACAACACCACCCTTATCCAGTAATGCTGGATTGCATCCAGGGTACCTTGTACATCATATCTCGACATGGAGAGTCCATGACCAAATATTGGTATGTGACGAGGTCGGAGTGAGAATATGTTTATTTGTCAAATGGTCAAATTATTCATTACAACTATTATAATCTACATTATAGAACAGGTAGTTCTGACCAAGCAATCAAATTGATCAAAAAGACATTTAGAATGTGCTCAAATCAGCATCACAGCACACCTTTCTCATCACTAGAAAAATACTCATTTCCATTGCAATGTTGTAACTGCCAGAGCTGGAGCAAAAACCAGAAGGCTACAAAACTGCTACAAAATGGATTGTTTTGTTGTTAATTTATATTTATACAGTGGACTAAGTTTTGATGAATGGTTGAAAGAAGATGAGAAGAACACAAAACAAAAAATCAATATATGGCACTGTCAGATAAAGAGCTCGGTCAGTTAGAAAGGTTTAGAAATGAAGTCAGTACATTAAAGCAAAAAAAAAAAAAAAAAAAAAACCTAAAAATGTGTAGTTAGGTTATCTCATAAACAAATAATCCACCAAATGCTCATGATAGGCTGTTTCTTGCAGCTGTTATATTAACAGTTATAGAATAATTAACTTAACAAAATAATTTTGGAACTTTTACCTAATCACTGCATTTGCAGAAATTCTCCAACATACTTATATAGGCTAAGTTTAAATGAGATTAAATGAGTCAGTGTTATCTTTTTTAATGAATATAATGGTGGTGTTTGTCAGTGCAGGTGCTGCCTCCCTGTAGTGCAGACGGCACAGGAGTGTGGCCGCCATGAAAAGTTGTTTTTGAAAAGATAAATGCCATCAAATATGGACTGAAGCAAAAATATTTTGTTCTATAAAATCATGCTGTAAATTCTGGAAATGATTACATCTACCTTGTTTCAATTTGTTTTGACTTTTGGACTTTACAGTTACTGGAAATGTCTGGCATCCTCCATCAGCTGTTCCGGTGAATAAATTAGCTTAAAAATGCATGTAAAGTTTGTGGATGTATTAGCTAAATCTGTGCATGAAAAAAAAACAAGAGTCAGAACAAGACTGAGCTAGCTGAGCAGTTTATGTGTATATCTGGGGTATTTCTTTAGTTTGGGAAACCCCACCATCTCTAGAAAGTATTAAAGCTCATGTTTGTTTGCAGACTCAACAGGGACTAGAAATGTGTCTGTAGGTTGTTAGTATGGGTCTGCCTACTTGCTGGAGTAGTAAACTAGGTTTAATTAAATACAGCAGTCTACTGATGTGACTGATAACTGCTCAGTTATTAGTCAGACCCCATGCATTTCCATGGATATGGAGACAACAGTCACAAAATGTTCTTTTTATTTGAAAGCTAATTGGCCCTCAACGTGAATACATTTTGATTAAATCTTTTATTTTGTTGGTAATAGTTGTAAAATCACAAAAGTACACTTGAGGGTGTGCTTTGACATTATTTGTGGTACTTCAGTGATGCTTACAGACATTGGTGCAAGCGCCTCAGCCCTGATGGCATCACTGTCATGCCACAAATGGCATCAAAGCACAATTAAATCCACATGATACTGTAAATGCAGCATTATTTGTCTGAGATATCATAACAAAATCAGGTTTAAATTAAGTATATAAGGTTTACACCATGTCTACACAGCAGCAGCTTCAGTCTAAACAGGATGGGTTTGAGAGCAGTACTGAGGAGGTCCCCCATATTTCGTCAGCTGTCAGAGTCCAGTACACTATCAGTACAATTGTGCATGTAAAACCAAAGAAAATAAATTAAAAGCATAAAAACATTTATGGTCTGAGTAAAACACAAGCCATTGTGTAGACAGCTGGATTGAATAAAATAGAAGTGTATCTGTTGGAAAGATATGTGTGAGACTGACGACTGAAAAATGCATCTGAGACAGCTCCTTGTGTAAAGCTCACACATACAGAAAAAGCAGTTTGAGAGACAATTCTTTGTGCAGCTCTTCTCTTATGATTTTCATCCCCTCACATCTCTACATTCCTTTATTCTAATGTTTCTGCAGACTCTGGACTATGAGACTAAGAAGTCCTACACCTTCAAGGTCGAGGCATCCAACGCACAGGTGGACCCACGTTTCCTCCACCTAGGGCCCTTTAAAGACTCAGTGACAGTCAAGGTGAATGTCCTGGATATAGATGAACCCCCAGTCTTCACTAAGCCATCCTACTCTGTGGACGTATACGAGGACACTCCTCCAGGAATCATCATCAGCTCTGTGACCGCTCAAGACCTGGATGCCAGCAGCAGTGCTGTCAGGTAACAACAGTCAGTGGTAACAATATACGCGCACATAGCCACTGTCAAAGTACACAAGGGAACTAAACATTGTTTTGGCAATGTTATAGATATAGATTTAGTATTAGCATTTTAGTATTATTTAATTTCCAGTCCTGGAGTTAGGCTGCACTTACCAAGTTCTGATTTAGTGTTGAGGGGAAATTTCACCATCACTAAATTAAAATGGGTTGCACCACAGAAATACTAGCGCTACTACCTTATTATCTACACTCATTGATTGACAGCGGAACTATTATGTGTAGGAATTCTTTTACAGTATTTGCTGTTTCACATTATTTGTGTATGAATATAATTTCTATGAGACAGGAGATTAAAGGTCAAGTCCCTCTTGTACCGATAATTAAGATTGATTTCTTTGAACCCTGATGGTAATGTTTTCCTATGTATTTCCTATGTGTGATTTTTTTTTTTAATCCTCATTCCAACAAAACATCTGATCTGCCTAAACTAGATCTTAATCACAAAGGTGGCCTATCAGAAAACACCCAACTAGAGTGAGAGCATTGATCATATCTGGGTTCTGATGACAGAGTACCCAGCCCTTCACCCTAATGTTTCCCTCTCATGTGGACTGCTCTTATCTTTGCAGGTATTCCCTGGAATGGCAGACAGAGTCTGACAGCTGTTTTGACATTGACACTGTTGAGGGAACCATTTCCACGAATGATTACCTGGACAGAGAGACAGCTGTTCAACACAATATCACTGTACTGGCAACCAAAGTCAGTAAGTATTACACCAAAAACATTGTACATCTGATACAAAGCATTCACATCCAAGAGCTGACAATCCACAGAGAAAACACTGACATCACATTATTCACCTCTAAAAGTTAGAATCCTTAAAATCAAATGGTAGACATTTTTTAAGCAATAGCCATTCAATGTGGCCAATTGGCATTGCACAACATGGCAATCTTTCATGCAGTTTAAATTGCCTACCAATGCATGATCTGTTCAGAATTTATTTTTAATTGGATACATTAAATGACACACGTTTTTATGAAATCTGGGCACATTGAACTTTTAAAACAAAATGTCAAGTCAAGTCAGTTAAATTAATAAAGCCCATCATCGCATACTTCCTCATTTGTCTCAAGAGGCTTTACATTCTGTACAGCATACAGCACTCTCGCTTCAGGTAAGAAAGAAGTCCCCAATAACCCTAACAGGTTGTAGATAGATTATTAACATATATGAAGAATGGATCCAGTTGGGTGTTGAGCAACTTAATTTGACACCAAACAGATCAAATCTGGAAAGAAGACACAAACATGAAAGAGGCAAAGCTCATGCATCAAGGAGGTGAAACTACAAAGAGACAGAGAGACAGAGATGAGAGAGAGGCATACAGCTGTACTTGTGGAACACAAACAGAGGGTTAAAGAGATGCAGTGTTTTTCAGAAAGTTCACAATATTCGCATTATAACAGACTGTTCACCAATCAGCCAAAACATTAAAACCACTGACAGGTGAAGTGAATAAAACTGATCTTGTCACAGTGGAATGTTCTGCTGGGTAACCTTGGTCTGCAGCAGTGTTTGAGTGGTGGAGTGTGTCAGGTAGCTTTCACATGAATGCCACAACCAAAGGTTTCCCAGCAGAACATTGCTTTGCATTCACTGAGACTAGGATCGACCTGCAGAATGGTTTATGACAACAGGTACAAGCCTGAAGTCATCAGAGAATAAGCAACTGACTGAAAGTTAAAGCCAAAAGATTTGTAATGGATTTAAAGGTGTCAACAGAGTATTATCAGCAGGGAGGTTATTCCAGAAGAAAAGGCTCTGCAGCCTGCTGACTTCTTTTAACTCTGGGGACAGACAGGAGCCCTGTATTCCAAGAGCAGAGAGCACACAATGGAATGTGAGGTTTAAGGAGATCAGAGAGGTAGAAAGGGGCATTCTAATTTAGAATTCAGAAACACCGTAAAGTGTGATCTGAAATGGATAGGGAGCAAATAAAATAAGATAAGATACACCTTTATTTATCCCACAATCGAGAAATTCCAGTGTTACAGCAGTCAAGGAGAAAGAGTCAGATTAAACATTTCAAAATTTAAACTTAAAAAACTTAGAACTTAAAAACTAGGCATGCAAAATAAAGTACAACAATACAAGAAACGGTGATAAATAATAATAATAATAATAATGATAATAATAATAATGAGAAGTGGATAATGAGCAGGGCGGCACGGTGGTGTGGTGGTTAGCACTGTCACCTCACAGCAAGAGGGTTCCCTGTGATGTTTATAAAGTGTCTATAGTGTCCATGAAGTGTCCATGGTGCAGTTTACTGTGAGCAGCGCTGGTTATGTTGCCTGACAGCTGCAGGCAGGAAGGACCAGGACCTGCGATAGCATTCCTTCACACACTTTGGGTGAATCAGTCTATCGCTAAAGGAGCAGGGGATGGGAATCATTAGACCTCAGAGATGACAGCTTGGCTGTCATCCTCCTTTCTCCCACCACCTGCACAGAGTCCAGAGAGTATCCCAGGACAGAGCTGGCCTTCTTGATCAGCTTGTCTAGTCTCTTCTTATCTGCAGCCGAGACACTGCTGCCCCAGCAGAACACTCCGTAAAAGATGGCTGATGTCACTACAGTGTCAAAGAAGGTCTTCAGGAGTGCCCCCTGCACTCCAAAAGACCTGAGCCGCCTCAGCAGGTAGAGTCTGCTTTGGCCTTTCTTGTATAGTGCTGTTATGTGATTAGTCCAGTCCATTTTATTGTTATTATGAACACCCAGGTACTTATAAGATGTCACCATCTCAATGTCCTTTCCCTGGATGTTCACCAGTGTTGGGTGGAGGAGTCTGCACCTGCGGAAATCCACCATCAGCTCTTTGGTTTTCCCCACGTTGATCTGAAGGTGGTTCCTCAGGCACCAGTCCACAAAGTCCTGGTTTAGTTTTCTGTACTCCCTGTTTTTCCCATCTGTGATGAGGCCGACTATGGCAGAGTCTTCAGAGAACTTCTGCAGATGACATGTGGGGGTGTCGTATGAAAAGTCTGCAGTGTAGAGGGTGAAGAGGAACGGTGCCAGCACTGTCCCCTGCGGGGCCCCTGTACTGCAGACAACCAAGTCCGATACACAATCCTGGGTCCTGACATACTGTGGCCAGTCTGTGAGGTAGTCCAGAATCCAGGATGTGAGGTGATTAGCCACCCCTACGTGCTCCAGTTTGTCCCTCAGAAGCGCAGGCTGTATAGTGTTGAAAGCGCTGGAGAAGACAAAGAACATGATTCTCACAGAGCTTCCGGGCTTCTCCAGGTGAGAAAGAGCTCTATGCAGGAGGAAGATGACAGCGTCGTCCACCCCAATGCCAGGCTGGTAGGCAAACTGCAGCGGGTCCATTGGAGGGCCTACTGCAGGGCGGAGACAAGACAGGACCAGGCGCTCCAGAGTCTTCATGAGATGCAATGTTAATGCCACCAGTCTGAAGCTGCTGAAGTCCTTGGGGTGCGGAGTCTTGGGTACAGGTACCACGCAGGATGTCCTCCACAGCTGTGGTACTCTCCCCAGCCTCAGGCTCAGGTTGAAGATGGTTTCAACTATCCCACACAGTTGGTCTGTGCAGGACTTCAGGAGCCTGGAGCTGATGCCGTCTGGACCCGCAGCCTTCCTCGTCTTTATCCTCCTCAGCTGATCTCTCACCTGACAGGTAGTGAAGGACAAGCTGGAGCAGGGGGTCTGTGTGCTGGGGGTGGAGGTGATGAGATGGAGCAGGGGTGGGGGAGGTGTTGAAGCATTGTGCCAGGAGTGTAGGTAGGGGGGAAGGTGAAGGTGAGGATGAGGGGGGTTGCAGCCATGATGTCTGGGCCAGGGGAGGGGCAGACTGATCAAATCTATTGAAGAACAGATTCAGATCATTCACCCACTTCTGTCGCCTCTGGCCTGGGAGTCTGGTTGTTTGTGTCCTGACTGAGATGGTTTTCAGACCTCTCCAGACTCCGCTGATGTCGCTCTGCTGCAGCTGTTCCTCCATCTTCTTTTTATATTCTTCCTGTCCTCGCCTGATGTTTCTCCGTAGCTCCTTCTGCACGGCCTTCAGCTCCTCCTTGGTTCCAGAGTTAAAAGCTCTCCGCTTCTCCTTCAGGAGAGCTTTAATATCAGGAGTAATCCAGGGTTTGGTGTTGGAGAAGCAGCGTACAGTCCTGGTGGGTACGGTGCTTTCCTCACAGAAGTTTATATAATCCGTAATACATGATGTCAGACTGTCAATGTCCTCCCCATTGGAATTGCTGAGTACCTCCCACACAGTGGTCTCGAAGCAGTCCTTCAGGGCCTCCTCAGCCTCATTAAACCACCTCTTCACAGTGCGGGTGGTTGCTGGTTCCCTCTGCACCAGAGGTCTGTAGACACGCAGAAGATGAACCAGGTTGTGATCAGCTTTTCCCAGGGGGGGCAGGGGGGATGAATGGTATGCCTCCTTGGTGTTGGCATAAAATAAATCCAGTGTTTTATGGTCTCTGGTGTGGCAGGAAACATATTGGGTGAAGGTGGGCAGGGTGGTGGATGGATAGGCGTGGTTGAAGTCCCCAGAGATCAGAAGGAGGGCCTGAGGGTGCTGTGTTTGCAGCCTACTCGTAACAGAGTGGAGAATGTCACAAGCAGACTCAGCTTTAGTAGACGGAGGGACATACACTGCTACCATAATGACATGAGAAAACTTCCTGGGTAGATAATATGGTCTCATGCCAACAGCCAGCAGCTCAGTGTCCCTGCAGCAATGCTGTTCCTTGATAGTGATGTGCCCAGAGTTACACCATCTATCATTCACAAACATAGCCAGCCCTCCTCCTTTCCTCTTACCGCTGTCCACTGTCCTGTCGTGTCTGATGAACTGGAATCCATCCAGCGCGGCGATCGTGGTACTTCCACATTTAGCCATGTCTCTGTAAACACCAGCACGCTGCTCTGCTGGTACTCCCTCTGATGGTGACTCAGCGCCGACAGCTCGTCCATCTTGTTGGGGAGCGATCTTAACTTATCCGTGACGACGGACGGGAGGTCAGGTTTGTACTGCCTGCCTGGTATCGGCGCTGCACTCTGGCGCGACATCCCCGTCTCCTTCTCCACAGCTGGTGGGGAATATCGTGCCTCTCCTCGGGCCGCACTGTGGTGTGATGCAGCGCTAACAAATGGGTGAAAACAATGGAGCCACAGCTGGGTGCCGGGTCCCTGCACACAATCATGTCCGTGGAAAAATAGCTATAAAGACAGCGGTCTTCATCTCCATACCAAAACAGAGCATAAGTGCTAGCTAGCTAACTGAAATAAAAATCCAAATTAGAAAGTTAAATGAAAAAGAAATTGAAAAAAGCTCAGTGGTGAGCAGGAGCTGCTGTAACAGGCGTTTGCACTGGGGGCGCCAACTTGCTACATCTCATGAAATCAAATGAAAGGAAGTTAAAATTGAGCGAGCATCTAAGGATTCAGTTGTGTTCACTCCAGCAGATAATGGTTTGCTTTTGGAAGAATCCAAAAGTTACAAGCACACGAACAGATTAGATTTCGGTGGTCAAATGGCAATGCCACTTTGACCTTATATCCATCTCATAGTTATAGTCTGTTTTTGTGAAACTGTCTGAACTTGCATTAGACCAATATGACCATATGACACTGCATACCAGTCTGAAAAATCTTTGTGAGCCTGACCCAAAAGGAAAATATTAGATCAATCAACTTATTCAAAATAACTACCTCATAACCAAATAAGAAATTA